AAAAAAAAAAAAAAAGAATGAACGGTACTTCTTTAATGGCATGGAATAACAGCTCCAAATTAAAATTACCTTGATCATCTCAAAGTTGTTTGGTTTTCTTTGCCTGGTGGTTGTTGAAATCCAAATCCAAATAAAAGTTCACAAATTGCATTTCGTTGTTATGTCTCAAAAGTCTTTTTTATTCTATATTCTGTTGTTTTTGAAGAATGATCCCTGAAAATCAGAAAACCAGCATTGTTTCCATTTGTGGAAAACAGGAGAGTAAAATGTATCTTGAGTGAATTTGCATCATTTTTGAGCTGTAAAAAGAAACTTAGAATCACTGCATATTTCTTGAGGGGCTTTAGAGAACTACCCTCTCTCCATGAGTTCATGGATTTGGACCATTGTTAGGAAAGCGGATGGTCAGATGACTTGGATCCCTTTGTTTTTGGAAAATGGAGATACCTTTCCCTTACCTTGTAGATTTTTCAATTTGTTCTTCTGCAGACTTTTTGCTAATTAGGCAAAAAATATGAAAGCCTAGTGACACTATATCTTTAAAGAAATTTTTTTTTAATGTATATTTATTTTTGAGAGACAGAGACAGAGCATGAATGGGGGAGAGACAGAGAGAGGGAGACACAGAATCCGAAGCAGGCTCCAGGCTCTGAGCTGTCAGCACAGAGCTTGATGCAGGGCTCGAACTCACGAGGCGCGAGATGGTGACCCAAGCCAAAGTCGGATGCTCAACCGACTGAGCCACCCAGGCGCCCCAGAAGCCTAGTGACATTATATATTTTTGCTCATTTCATAACAAAATCATGCTTCTTTAAGGCTACATTTACTGATGTGACAGATTTCTCTTCTCTCAGAAGCGCTGGGATAGGAATGAACATTTTCTCCATTTCTGTTTGATTCTGTCCATTTCCGATAGGTCTGTCACTTCTTTTACAGTTGCTACTTAATCCAAATATTCTTACTTGTTCCCAAAGAGGGCCTTTGGGGTTTTTTGTGGGATCCCAAATCAGCCACAAAGTAATGGATACTGTGGTCTCTGAACTGAACATACATAACATAATGAAGCAGACTGTTCTTGTGACTTGGAAATACACTCCCCAACGTTTGCACGTTTTCCAAAATATATTATCAGAGGGCTTGGGATTTTTCAGGAAATCCAGTGAAAGTCTTCCATATTTCTCATTTGTTACAAATAACTCATCACTAGGACAAATACTTGAGAGGTCATTGCTAGAACTTGTGCTGTGAATTTTGTAGTATTTTCAGGATGGGACTCCTTAAGGTCCCTGCCTTATTAACTGACTCATCCTCAGAGCAGTAACCATAAATTTTTCCATGCATTTCCATTCAGCGGATCCGGGCCACAGTAAATAGCCAGGAGCAGAAAAGGCTACTGATGGATTTGGATATTTCCATGAGGACAGTGGACTGTCCTTTCACAGTCACCTTTTATGGTGCACTCTTCCGGGAGGTAGGTGATCCGTCAATTCAAAATCTGAAGAGAACAGTAACTTGAAAGGAAGTTTCTCTAATTACATCAATGTGATGTATGGTCATGGTCCTCTTTCTTGTTTGACACATCTTTTTTTTTTTTTTTTAGGTTTATTTATTTAGTTAGAGGGAGAGAGAGCACGTGCACATGAGTGTAGGAGGGGCAGAGAGACAGAGACAGAGAGGGAGAGAGAACCCCAAGCAGACTCCTTCTGCGAGAGCCCCACATGGGCTCGATCTCACGAACCATGAGATCAGGACCTGAGCCGAAATCAAGAGTCTGAGCGTAACCGACTGAGCCACAAGGCACCCCTGGCATGTCTTCTATAGACAGTTTTATATTTGTGCAATGATGACAATGCCCCACCACAAAGTTGGCTTGAAATCGTAGTATTTTTAAATGTGTTTAGCCCTTTTGAAGATGCTGAGGCTCCCTTTCTCCCTTCTGTTTTGGTTTATTTTGGCAGAGTGGTCTATATCAATTGTCTGTAGGCTAATTTAGATAGATTTCGTAAAATCTGATATGTTCTAGTCTTTTGGCCAGTGGATAAGCTTTACTTAGCCTGTCTATGTACCCTCGAGGCTTAAGCGTATCTCTTGGCTTTACCTTTGCTTTCATTTTACCGTGACACGGATTGTGATGCTTCAACTCACTCTTCTGACCAACTTTTCGATTCTTGCCAGCGCTCCGTGTGGGAGATCAGACATGGAGCAGGCATGGAGACCTAAGTTCCTACAGGGCAGTAACAATAAAGGCTTATATTTCTGGGAATCTACCATTTGTGGCTATTAGTACTGATGTATTTGTTTATTTAAAAGGTTTTTAAAAAATCTGAGTTGACACGCTGTGTCACATTAGTTTCGGGCGTACGGCAGAGTGATTCAACCTCTCTGTGCATTATGCTGTGCTTACCATAAGTGCAGCTACCATTTGTCACCATACAACACTATTATAATATCATTGGCCATATTCCCTGTCGTGTGCCTTTTATTCTCTTAAGTTTTTCATTCCATAACTGGTGTGGCTCCTGGTATTTAGGTCCTAGTCTCTATCAAGGAGTGGGTGATGGTATGTAATTCCTGCTTGGCAATCTGCTAGTTGACTCTTTGGAAACAAACTTGCTTCCTTGTAAGTTCCTTTGAGGTCTGGAAGGGAAATCATCCATTTCCTCCAAAAACCCAAGTTAAAAAAAAAAAAAAAAAGAGTTCTTCCTGACAGGTGTTAACTGTTTCCTCTTTTTTCCTTTTCTCTCCTTACTAACCGTCTCTGAACCAATCGGTCTCCAGGGTGATGTTTGGATTTGCATGGAACTCATGGATACGTCGCTAGATAAGTTCTACAAACAAGTGATTGACAAAGGCCAAACAATTCCAGAGGACATCTTAGGGAAAATAGCAGTTTCTGTGAGTACATCATGAACCCTACTTACAAGGAGAATGTGAGAAGTCTAGACCTTAGGTGTCCCTGATTCCCTAGTATGAAGAAACGCTAGCTGGACTAGAACTTCCCCCCGATTCATGTCTGTTGAATGCACGAGTACATCTGTGGATGAGTAAATGAATACTTTTCTTTCTGGGCACCATGTAGAAGATTCTACCACTGACCTGGTTTGGAAAACTCTCAGTTAAAATGTCTCTAAGCAACGCATTCATCTGCTGTGACCACATTCCTGGTGGCTATATCCTGATATTAGTTTATTTTGATTTTCACTTGTAGATTTTTAAATATTTTCTTAGGGCTAATAGGGCATAGAAGGAAGCAGAAGAAAATGAAATGGAAAAAAAAGGTTGCTCTCTTAATGGCTCATGAGGGTGGAGAGAAAAAATGTTGGAGACCAAATGAAACACCAGTTAGAGGAGGGAGACGCTGTGAGATCCGGTCCTCTCTGATGGGTGGAGTCCAATTAGTGTAGCTTCCTCTGTGTTTTCCTGGATAGGGCCACCACTATTTGAGAAAATACCTCACCTTATGACGTTAAGCCAGGGATAATAAACCTGGGTATACTTAACATTCAGTTTCTTTCCAGTGATGGAGAAAAATCGATCTTGTGTTTCTCTTGCAGATTGTAAAGGCGTTAGAACATTTACACAGTAAGCTCTCTGTCATTCATCGAGGTAAGCATCCATGATGTTGCTTTAGCTGTTCCTTTTATAAAATCTATTTCTTTCACCCAGATTTTTCTTCCCCCAATGGATGGAAGTGGAATTGAGTTAGGCAATAGAACTGAGGGGTTTTCCTTCCCAGATGAATAGCAAATCAGATAAGTAGCCGCTTTTTATCTTGTCTGAGGACATGCGAAGACATGGGCTTTTTATTACACCTAAATTGAATATAAAACACCTGCTACCAGACACAGCTCTGGGATTACCCTACTGAGAATTTTGGAGAAAAGGATAAAAATGCATCTCGTATTGGCTGGCACCTGGGAGCTTGTTAGAAAAGCAGAATCATGGGTCCCAAGACCACCTGAATCTCCATTTTTTTTTTTTTTAATTTTTTTTTTTTAAGTTTATTTATTTTTGAGTGAGAGAGAGAGAGACAGAGTGCAAGCAGGGGAGGGGCACAGGGAAGAGGGAGACATAGAATCTGAAGCAGACTCCAGGCTCTGAGCTGTCAGCACAGAGTCCGACACGGGGCTCGAACTCACAAGCTGTGAGATCATGACCCGAGCCAAAGTCAGGCGCTTAACCAACTGAGCCACCCAGGTGCTCTGAATCTCCATTTTTAACAAGATCCCCAGGTAACTTTTGCATACCTTAAAGTTGGAAGAGTTCTGGTATAAAGCACAGCTTTTTCAGACAACAGGAGGCAGGATAAAGTGAAAACATCAGTAGATTTGTCTCTTCTTCCTCTACCTCCTCTTTTTTCCTTCTGATTGATTGGCCTGCCATCTTTCATCCATCCATCCATCCACCCATCCATCCATCCATCCATCCATCCACCTGTGTATCAATCGTTCATCTTTCATGTATCCTTTTTCGGCCATTTATGCAGCACTTTAATAGATACCCCAAGAGGTATCTGAGAACAAAACATATTCTTATTAAAATTCCATAAAGGGATTCTTGATAGGGAAATAAGACAAATATACAACAAATGCGTGGAGAAAATAAACCACATTGCAAATATAGGAGTGCCAAATATGGAAGCAGTCTAGGTAGAATATAAAGCAAGGAAATGATTAGCACCGGGTGACTACAGTCAAAGAAAGCTACTTTGAAGATGCACTCAACCAAATCTGAGGAAAAATTAATGGAAAGTATGGATAGCTAGTAGGGTAGTGGGGTTTGGTAATTCTTATACTCTCTGAGTCTGAAAGTGATGCAAAATGCCTTACAGAGAGTGCCCGTTATTGCTGTTATTACTATCATTAATTGTTACTTTTAGAAATTGGAAAAATAGGAAGGAAGGGGAGGAGGAGGAGCAAGTGGGCAAGAATCCAGATGGACAGAAGAATGTGGATTACCCACAAACAGGAAACTTAATTTTTAAGGATTTATTTCAAAATTAGGAAGTATTTCGTTTGAATTAAAAATATATAAGTGAAGTATAAAAAATAATAAAATGTGCATGTCCACTGTTCAGTGTAAGGGAAAACATTATAAAGGATAATTTTTAATGTTTTTAGAATAACTCTGTTGATTACGTGTCCTTTTTGAAAAGCATCACAAAGGAAAAAAGTTGACCGTAATTTCTAAGTCCATTATCCAGAGATAACGGTAATCTATTTGGGGGTATGTTTTGTGGTCTGAAATTTCTGGATTTCTGATGAGTTTACACTATGTGACCTCTGACAAGCCCCTTGCAGAGGCTTCCATCAAAATTGGTTGCTTTGATCAGATTTGATATATCATTTTATCGCGGTCTGCCTTTTCATTCTGTGGTCTGTTTACTCCTACTTTTTTTTTTTTTTTAATGTTTTTATTTATTTTTGAGACAGAAAGAGACAGACCATGAACAGGGGAGGGGCAGAGAGAGAGGGAGACACAGAATCCGAAGCAGGCTCCAGGCTCTGAGCTGTCAGCACAGAGCCCGACGCGGGGCTCGAACTCACGGACCGTGAGATCATGACCTGAGCTGAAGTCGGCCGCTCGACCGACTGAGCCACCCAGGCGCCCCTTACTCCTACTCTTAATGTGCAATAGGTCATGATGAGCCGGGCTTTAAGAAAATGATTTTGTTGTCACAAGAACATTTAACATGAGACCTACGCTCATGGCAAAGTTTAAGCGTGCAATACAGTACTGTTCGTTACAGGGTCAATGTAGTACAGCCGATTTCTGGAACTTACTCATTTTGCATAATAGAGACTCTGCCCAAGGAACTGGGCATTTGATTCACTAATAGCTTTTTAAGTTTTTACTACGTGAATGGGGGCAATAGATAGAGGCAACGGCCCTTTCCATCGGTGGGTTCGCAATCCTACGAGAGGGACAAAACATGAAATAGAAAAGTTGAAAGCAGGAAGGTCTATGAAGTGTGAGTCAGGGATGGCTGTTGACTTTTGTGTTGGGCCTCAGAGGGAAGGGAAGGTGAGGGGGAATGGAGATTTCAGGCCCCCTGGTGGAAGACACATGGATCTTCAAAGCAGGCTGGGAACATGGGCTCCTGGTGCTTGCTTTTAGACGTCAAGCCTTCCAACGTGCTGATCAACACTCTGGGCCAAGTAAAGATGTGCGATTTTGGAATCAGTGGCTACCTTGTAGACTCAGTCGCTAAAACCATTGATGCCGGATGCAAACCGTACATGGCCGTAAGTATGCCAGCTGGTGGGGGAGGCGGGGGGGAGGGGGCCTGCAATCTGGGAACGCAGACACGAGCAGACCACGCCAGGAAAAAGGAAATGGATGGCCACAGAGGTCAAATGGAAATGTGCTTACAGTGCAAGAAATAGTCTCCGTCTTATTTTTTTCTCAAATATTTTCCGTCTGTAATCCTCAGTTATTTGCTTCATACGTACTATTATTTTTTAATAAAAAGCAAGTAAAAGAGTATATCACTTGGAAAAAGAAAAACGTGTAAGTAATCCATACCGCCCACGCAGATTTTTCACACTGTGTGGCAGGGGGTTGTTATCTTGTCTGTTGGGGACAGATGAGTGAACAGAATTTAAGTTACCCCAACCAGACAAGGAGGTTAGTCCTGAGAGAACCTCGTGGCTGTGAAGATTCGTTGCCATTGGCAGAGACCTCGGGACCCCCTTTAACATGAAGGGGCTTCTGTGTTCTGTTTGGAAATAGATTTGCCCTTGGGATTGAAAACCTTCCCATCAGTGCTGAGCTAATCTCAGGGAGTCTCTCAGGGATGCTTGCGCATTCTTAGTATGGAGTTCTGGAATGTTGGTGTTTTTAATGAGGAAAATTCTAGACTGGCAGAGTAGCTTCATAATGTGTATCTCCTATTTCTTCTTAAGGCGAAATTGAAATTAGTTTTGAATTGGGGGGGACTTTGCTCCATTATCGCCTCTGGGAACAGACTCCGGTAGAAGGCGGAAAATCCCACAGAGGCATCAATATTTTTTTGCAGTAGTGAATCTTCTTGGCCTGGGAGGCAGGTTAACAAGTTTAAAACAACTCCCTTGGCAGCTGGTGACACCCCCACCCCTAGAGACTTTGTGGAGCTAAGAATGTCATCTCATTTGTCTTTTCCCATCTCCTTTCCAGCCCGAAAGAATAAACCCAGAGCTCAATCAGAAGGGATATAGTGTGAAGTCTGACATTTGGAGTCTGGGCATCACAATGGTAATGATCGCACTGGTCTGTGAGGTTCTGGGCATGAAGCTGAAATGGGGTGGGTTCTGAGACCGGAAGGCAAATGCCCTAAGTGTGGGTCCAGAAACCTCTGCTTTCGGCCTGAGATAGCAGGAGGTTCTAAGTGATGGTTGTCTGCAGTGTGGTGTCGTAGAAATAACCGCCCTGGGATTGAGCAAACCCAGTCTTTATTCCACCTCTAACTGGTCGTATGCCCTTGAGTAACCGATAGAGTCACATGAGCGGTCTTATTATCCCCATCTGTACAATGAATCCTGACTACAACTGCTCGTAGTTTTCCTTCTAGTTTAAAATTAGGGGCGCCTGGGTGGCTCAGTCGGTGAAGCGTCCACTTCGGCTCAGGTCATGATCTCGCGGTCCGTGAGTTTGAGCCCCGCGTCGGGCTGTGTGCTGACAGCTTGGAGCCTGGAGCCTGCTTTGGATTCTGTGTCTCCCTCTCTCTCTGACCCTCCCCTATTCGTGCTCTGTCTCTCTCTGTCTCAAAAATAAATAAACGTTAAAATTAAATTATTTGGGGCACCTGGGACGCTCAGTCGGTTAAGCACCCGAGTCTTGGTTTTGGCTCAGGTCACGATCTCGCGATTCGTGAGTTCGAGCCCTGCGTCGGGCTCTGCGCTGACAGTGCGGAGCCGGCTTTGGCTTCTCTCTCTTTCTCGCTTTCTGCCCCTCCCCTCCTTGCACTCTCTCTCTCTCCCCAAAATCAATAAATAAACATTAAAAAATATATTGAAAATTAAATTATTTTAATCGAGGCTCAAGCTTCTCAATGAGTGCTAATGTATGTGGAGCCTGACAGAGCTGAGTCACCCAGGACATAGGCTGTGCTTTCCAGAATAGGATTATGATAGAAGTCTTGGCCAGCGGGGTCATATATAGCCAAAGGGCATAGTAACACACAGGATAATCTCCTTAGGCGCAGTCCTAAAGTTATACAATTAGTGCTTTGTTTGTGACATTGGTGGTCATAAATTTTCAGTGTATCACCAAGGTCTGGAATTATCCACTGTGGGCCTGGCTCCTTTCCAGGCACAGCAGCTGATTAAATCCTGTGAGTTATTTCACATCCCTGCCCAGAAGACACGTGATAGTCGTGTCATGGCAAAGTGGCCTTACTCAAATCCAAAAAAAGATCCGTCATTTGGTCCTAGGGTTTTGTTTTGTTTTGTTTTGTTTCTTCTCCGTTCCAGCAAGGGGCCTGCAGATGGCAGCAGATGTACACTCCGCCAAGGTCTCAGGGCGAGAATTCCATTTCAGACCAAACATTGGAAAACCTGGTTGCTTTACATCCCAAAGTTTAATACGTCTGGCTTGCAATTTTATTAAGTGTCACAGTGGCTTTTGCGGAGGACACAGTGATAAATAGGCTTCATTGGCTGCCTCTAGTAACATGACGTTTGACAATCCCTAGTGCTAGCAATTGGGGACAAATGGAGAACATGTTGTTAGTTTAGTTCTCCCCCAATTTTACTTGAACTTCACCTTTGGAGTTCCCGCTGACTCTTCTGGATCAGGACACCGCGGATTCCCTAAAGTAGCTCTGTGTAAGCTGTTGTCCCCTTGTCTTTCTCTCCCCTCTAGATTGAGTTGGCGATCCTTCGGTTTCCCTATGACTCTTGGGGAACTCCCTTCCAACAGCTCAAGCAGGTGGTAGAGGAGCCCTCACCACAGCTCCCGGGAGACAAGTTCACCGAAGAGTTTGTTGACTTTACCTCACAGTGGTAAGAGAGCCCCATCTGCCAAACGCCGGTGTTAAGGACAAAGAGGACTTCTCATGGACTTCCTCCATTGGTTTTAATCCATTCTGCATGCATTTCATTCCCAAAGCATTTATGGAGTGTGCCCTTGATGCTGGAGAAACAAAGATGCCTTTGTCCCGGTCCCCGCCCTCTTTGAAGTCAGAGCCAAGTAGTGGAGTCTCATCAGTCAGTACTTGTGGTTCAATATGGCACGTCCAGGGGTGGAGATCTGCATAGGGTATTCGGGGGACTCAGAGGAAAGGCATTAGGATGGAGTTTCGGGAGGAGATAGATCCTGAGCTGAAGACGACGTGAGGGATTTTCCAAGGGGTGAGGGGAGTAGGGAAGGGAAAGGTATTCCAAGCAGAAAACACAGCACGCTTCATGTCACAAAAGTGAGAAACTCCTTTATGAGAGCTATAAGCTATCTGAGGTTGATTAGAGTGTTAAGAGAACAGTGGTCAGACCACTGGAGGATTAGAGCTGGGGAGTAGATTAGATGCAAAGAATTACTTTGGATGAGCAGGCAGTAGAGAGTTGGAGAGTGTGACTTAGTTACCTATACGTCTTGTAGAGTAGTTCTCGTGTCTTCTAGGCTGCCTTCTACACGGTACTTCTTAACGGGGGATATCCTTGCCTGTGAGGGTACAATGGAAAGCACTGGGGGGTCTGAGGAGGGAATCCAATCCAAGTTGGAGAGGGAAGATGGAAAGGAGTCGTGCTAACAATGTAAATTTTATTTTCCTGGAAATTGTCAGTGGGATTGAGGAAAGTGGGAGAGGGCATGGTTTTCTCCTCTGTGCCTGGTGACCAGACTGCCTGGTATAACCTCATCCTAAGGACCATTGCAAGTGCTCCTGGAAGAGGAGGAAAAGAACAGAAGGAAAGCACAAAATGGAGCTCGTTGATATGGGCATCCTATCTGCAGAAGCAGACAGTGACAAGCCCAGCTGTGACCCTGGGAGAGGAGTGACCCTGGCCGCTCCCTCGGAGGAAGGAGCTGGGCCTCTGGAGGCTGTTTCACAGCACAGCTCCTCAATGTTATCATTCCTTGGCCTCCACGCTCGTTGGAAGAAGCGTTCTGAATGCAGCTTTTATTGGGAAACACGATGAGACAAAGCAACCGTCTGTTGTTTGTGAAACTAAGGCCTCTTGGACTTCTGGTTAGCCCCGGTCCCCATGTCACCCCTGGTCTTTGGCCCCGATGACGTATGAGGCCGGCCCACCGTTGCTCATTTTTGTTTGAGGTTTGGCTGAATGGCTAGAGAGGGGCTGGAGCAGTCGGCACGGGGTGTTGTTAGATGCCTCTTACTGGTACTTCCCCTGGGCTACTGAGGTGTATCCTCCTCTGAGCTTTCCTTGAGCAAATGTGCTGGATATGGTGGCATACTGGCCAGGTTGAGATGGGCCCATGGTCCTGCCTTCTGGATTCAAACATTTGTTTTTGTTGTCGTTGTTGTTGCTGTTTTTCTTTTTCCTTATCCCCAAACGTTGAAAGATCACCTAGGAAAAGGGGGTGAGTCGCGTTGGATAGTTCAGACCAGTAGTTCTCAAGAGGAGCGGTAAAGGGAAAGCATCTTATCTAGGGAAGGCTTCTCAAACTATCCTCCCTATAACCTTTCGGCTGCCTGTCCCCCTTTCCCCAGGATTCTGGGTGCTTTGGAAAACTTGGTAAGAACAAGGCTGATGTGAAAAGTTTAAGAAAGCTGAACTGCCTTTTGAGAATCACGAGTTTAATGCAGTAGTTGTTAATGCTGGCTGTTCATTTATAAGACGCGAGAGAACTTTCCAATGTACTGTCGCTTAGGCATACGCGCCGACGTTCTGACTTCATTGGTCGGGGGAGGGTCCCGGATCTCAATAGTTTTCAAATGTTCAAATGTTTAAATCTTTCCACTATACAGCTGGGGTGAGGGCCCCTAATTTTGACCTATGGTCTGTGGACCTGATTATCAACTGCTTCCTTTTCAGGAACTGTTTTTCTTCTATAATTTATTTAAAAAAAATGATTCAATTGTTTTTTCTTTCACTAGAGTATTTTTTTCCTCTGATGTAGAATTTCCCCCTGAAGATTCAAAGCAGTAAAGCTTTTTTTTTTAATGGACATGTAAAAAATGAGAACCTTGAAATAATGCTTTCTAATTTTAACAGGTGCACACACCTACGGGGACAATCCAGATACTTTATTATTGTGCTTTGTAGGGTGACCACCCTGTGCCTACCCTATACTCCTAAAATCACTGCCAGTATCTTCCGGCTGACCTCTGAGGCCTCTGTTCCCCTCTCATTTTCTGTCAATTTTAGTCTCAGCTACCATAGTTCATTAATTTAAAAACTTTGAGCCATAGACATTTTCTAGCTTTCCTGGAACCATTAGCTCTGTTAATGCTGTTAATTCTGTGTCCTTTTACTCATATTCATGTCAGCCAGTCTGGCTTGCTTAAGAGGGTTACTAATATGTATATGTATTTATAATATGCATATATATATATATACTATTTATATACATATATACGTAATGCATAATACACTATATATGTATATGTATATATGCAATAGAAACAAAACTTGAATCACTTGAACTTTGAAGTCTTCAAAGAAGAAGTTCCTCAAACCTTCAGTGTTGTTGTCCCTATAGAACCTGATATTTAAGAATATCAGTTGTGTAAAATAGCGAGTCATTTTGTTGGTAGGAGAATTGGAAAGAAGAAGAGAATTAATTCTGAATTTTATGAGCATTCTTAATGATCCTCACTTGGATTTTCTTTAAGAGTATAGACCCTTCTGTTTCAGAATCCAGGTCAATAGGTTTTTGCCTTCCATAAACTACCAGTATATTTTCTTTGGTACCCCTTCAGTGTGAACATTATTTTGAGATCAACCAAGTTGGAAAAGTTGTCTAATGCTTCAAGAGACGGTGCTGATTTTTTTTCAAAAAGCTTTTATGAATGGCTTAGATCTTGCTGGAAGCCATTTCCTTTTCTACATATTAGCTTACAGATACACACCTGCCCCCAGCAGCAAACTAGGTATTTCACTTGTTTTCTCACTGACAGTTTTAAATTTGATCTGGGGCTGAGTAGAAAGAATGTAGAGGTGATTTACGAGCACCCCCTTTCTATTTCTTGATGAAGAAAAGGATACAGCCTGAGTGTAAGTCCCTTTTATAGAAGTTTCTCTACTTCCCTATCTACACAGCTGTGTGTTGAGATACCTTTTCATGAAAGGACCCTTTTTGGAGAGACCTCCATGTGTGTTTTTGTATTTTTTTTTTTCAACGTTTATTTATTTTTTGGGACAGAGAGAGACAGAGCATGAATGGGGGAGGGGCAGAGAGAGAGGGAGACACAGAATCGGAAACAGGCTCCAGGCTCTGAGCCATCAGCCCAGAGCCTGATGCGGGGCTCGAACTCACGGACCGCGAGATCGTGACCTGGCTGAAGTTGGACGCTTAACCGACTGCGCCACCCAGGCGCCCCGTGTATTTTAATGGCATAGTCAGGCAATGATCCTTCACGACTTCTCAGAAAGCCCCAATTTTTGTGGTGAGTGGGGAAAGGGGCGTAAGATTTGGGAAGTAAAAAATTGATCACGAATTTCGAGATAGGTACACCTGGGATTTTATCTCCTACCTCTGTCTTTGGGCTAAATGCCACACTGGAAGAGAAAGGTTGCAAGGTTGCATCGTTCCTGGTTTAGGTCATCTGTCAGAGTATTTGTGATCTTTCCTGGGATTAATCCTAACTGAGCACTTGATGACATCCCAGTGCTGCTCTGCACGGCACAGCCTTCTTCCAGGGGATCATGTTGGCGGCCCCTCTCCTCTGATCACGGCTTGTGAGTTGACAGTGATCCTGGTCTGTGGTGTGTAGCTGAAAGTGCCACCAGGATGTCACTGTCCCACCCAAAGTTACATTTAGAGCCCAGAGCCCCAGCCGATGTGTTTCTTGTGCAGTAGCCTCAGGCACTCCGGGGAGTGGGAGGGTGGGGCCAGAAGGGTAGGAGAGGAGAGAAATTTAAAGCATTTGTTCTTTATGGACTTAAAGGAAAAACCAGTGGTGTCTTACACGCTGTTCCCTTCTGTCCTTCTTCTGAAATAGGACTACTGAATGACATTTCCTCCTCTTTTTTTCCCTACACATGGCTGTCTTGTCATAGGGTTTTTAAAGCTTTCCCGGAGTAGGTGGTGCTGACCATAAAGGCCTTGCTTGGGGATTCATAACACAGAAGTCCAATAGAAAAGCTTTACATCCTAGTCCCACAGAGGCTTAACAAATGAATATCCCGAAAGGAGCCACTTCCTATCGATGCACAGGTTTGGTGACTGAAGGAAGTCTCTGGAAACCAACTACTGGGTGCCAAAACAGCTCGACCTTCTTTTTGCCTCTCCTTCAGGCCTATTTAAGGGGCTCAGTGCACGGCTGACCAGCCTGATGGCATGTTGGAGGAGACCCACCCAGACATTGAAACTGTCTGACTCAGAGGGACTAGCATCAAACATAGACGATCAAATATAGTTCCCGACTTGTTCAGGAAGAAGAGTAAATAGAGGCACCGGACATTTATTTCGCTTCTGACAAATGTATGGGCTTGAGAGGCGCAGCGTGTTTTTTATTCTGTGGGCGTACCACACAGGCCTTCTTGGAAACCGTCAGAGGGCATTCAAATAGGCAGAAATCCTCTGGTCAGCACAGACTTCAAGCTAGCAGTTCTCAAAACAGCATGGAGGTGTTTTTTAGTGTCAGCTACTGTCAGGAGCGTGTGTTGTGGCCTTTGGAAGACGAATTAGAGCAGTTAGCTAATTGCACGCTTGAACGTGACCAGCCACTTGAAAATTCAAAAGTCTGACTCCAATCCAAAAAGAAATTGGTGGAGCTTATTCTATACTGGATTTCAAGCACTTCCTATCAAACGTGGACAATTTGCTCCCTCCCCCCAACCTGATCCTGAGTATTTTCCTATTTTTAGCCCATGTTTTGAAGTGCTCTCAGTTTAAAAGATGGAGAGAATGTGTTTCATCAGTTACATTAATTCAGTAAACAGCCCTGGATTGCTACGTAAGTATTTTCCATGAATGCTCCACAGTAGTGCTATTGCAGGAAATTGTGAGCCTTCTAATCAGAGGTCAAGAAATAGCCTATTGGCCAGCAATCCCTGAGGCTTTAGGAATCCTAAACATTTATGATGCATCAGCTTGGGGTACGTTCCCCACATTTTCTTTATACAGACTAAAAGAAAGAAAAAAAAAATCTAGAGAACTTTTCTTAACCTGTTCCAGAAGTAAAAAAGATAAACCATGCTTACTTAAAATGATCTCTCCTTGGGGGCGCCTGGGTGGCTCAGTTGGCTGAGCATCCCACTTTGGCTCAGGTCACGATCTCTAGGTTCATGAGTTCAAGCCCCCCATTGGGCTCGCTGCTGTCAGTGCAGAGCCTGCTTTGGATCCCTCTGTCCACTCCCCCCCCCCCCACACGTTCTCTCTCTCTCTCTCTCTCTCAAAAAAAAAAAAAAAAAGATTTCTCCTTAAAAAAAAAAAAAGGAAGCATTTATATCTCTCTACCTGATGAGAAGATAGTCTTATTTCATTTTCTGCTAAATAGAACTTCAAAAATCAGCAACATCACAAAGATCTCTGGTTGGTAGAAGTGGCCATTGTTCTAACATTTGAGCAAGAAGCTTCCTTTCCTGTCATTCCCTTGGTTCACTTGCTGACTGGTGGAAGCTGGTGATGTGAAGGTGGCTGATGGTCCTCAAGGAGGATGTTAACAGAGTCCATGCAGAGTCCTGGCCTGATGGCTGACTAATATTCCTGTCTAAGTAGAGACACCTGAAATCAAGCTGGTGACTAGCGAGCGTGGATTTAATGCTGTGTCTGTGCTTTTCATTGTTGCTTTTCGGAAGTTAGATTGTTCAGATTTGGGGGAAGACTTTCTGGTTTTTGATTGGCTTTGAACGGTAGCCGAAAACCCAAGGCTTCTGTGCATTAGCCCTTTTGTTTTTTCACTATGGTCTGTGTGCAAATCAGCCACGCTCCTGGGATCACACTCCTCCTCCTGTGTTTCCATCTAGGTGAACGAGCTCTTGAACTTAGAAAGACAACTTCTGCTTCTGGGGTTCGGGGATAGAGACGTGGTAGTGTTGAGAATGTGTGCAAAGGACAGACGAGACAGCTGGGGCTGCTTGTAAGTGAATTTCATTTCTGAGCAGGAGAGAGAAGGCAGCAGTGAGGAGGAATATCCTAGGACACGTAGCCCAAGGGTTTGCAACCTCAGCCCTAATGACTTTTTGGACTGGATCAGTCTTTGTTGTGGGCAACCGTGCTGTGCATTATAGGATGTTTAACAATATCCTGGGCCACATCTAATATCTACCTATTAGATGCCAGTTGTATCAACCATAAAACGCCTCTAAAGGTTGCCAAGTATCCCCTAGAGGTCAAAATCACCTGCATTTGAGAACCGGCCGTAAAGCACTATAGAACCTCAGGATATAGATACGTAAGTATCTATAGAGATACAGAAGGATACATACATATCTATAGAGATCCAGAAGGATATAGATACAAAGTCATAAGTGAGTCCAAGGGTCCAAGGTCTCATTCATTTCACTCAGGCACACCTTCTCATATCGACCTGATTTTGACAGTTGATAATTCCTCTTTCTAATCCACTCTTATTTTTATCCTCAGTTGAGACGAAACTTTCTCCCATAGGTTGTCTGGTCACTGAGGTCACTAGGTCCTAGATCTGCCCTCAGTCCCAGGTTGAAACTTCTCTGCTCACATCTACTGTACCCTGTCTCAGGTTCCCTGGCTTCTACTCACAGCATTGCCTGGAATAAACTGGTAGGCTGTTTTAAGTTGTTTTGGTTCAAAAGCTTTCTCCCTCTCTCTCTCTCTTTTTTTCCCATTTCGTTTTGTTTTACACCACAGTTTCTCAAAGCGTCTCAGTGACTTCGCTCTCTTATGGCTCTGTCCCTCCACCCCTGCCTCCCCCCCC